TCATCATCATCATCATCATCATCATCATCATCATCATCATCATCATCATCATCATCATCATCATCCATCATTGTATGCTAGTTGACTTCATCTTTTACCAGGCTCTATTTAAGCCTCCAAGGGGTAGATGGAAGAAAAAATGCAAAACTCCCAATTTTGTACCTTCTGTGTTTGTTTTTTTACCCTTTATCACTAAGATTTGTTTTTGTTTCATTTTGTTTTCCTATCTACATGACCATCAGTCTAATGAAAAGTAAAGCTCCATGTCCTAACTTGGGCATAGTTCCTTTACAGACAGCTAACATCAACTACATGATGTTAACTTAGTAGTAAGGAGTTTCAGCCTATTCTACATCGTTTATTTCTGATGGTCAGAAATAGTCAGATAATTTAGGAACGCAGTCGTCTTCTGACCGAAGCATTTCTCTGTCTTTCTAATTGAACCTTTCTTTAGAATTCTGGGAAAATAAAACAAAAATGTGAAATAAAATAAAATAGTGCTTTCCCAACTTCATCATCAAATTCTGACAACTCTCAAATTCCGCCAAGAAGCCCATAAGCATCAAAGTGGCGTAAAGCTGGTATTACATCTGTAGCCTGGTTCTGCAACTCCTTGTAGTATATCATTCTGTGCTGTACATTAAGCTCATTAATTCTTGCTGTATCAACAAATTACGGATTTCACTGCTTAACCGTGCTGAGTGGAAACATGACATCAGCTTCCTGAAGGCTCAAATTGTTGGGGGGGCCCCCCTCTCTGAACTGTCGGTGCCCACAGCAGGGGTTGTCCAACTTTGGCAACTTGAAAGGGAATTCTGGGCGTTAAAGTCCATAAGTCTTAAAGTTGCCACGGCTGGAGACACACACACACCCCTGGCCTAAGGCCTCTTTTCCAAGAAGCAAGAGGTCTAATGGGGAAACACACTTTGAGCACCAAGTTTCAAGAGTGCAACAATGGAGAAATATCATTCCCAGAACGGAGAAAAAAGTCTTAAGACCATCGCTCAAGTGGGTTTGAATGCACACATCTCAAAAAGACAGCAAACCTTTCCAGCTTCAGCACCCCTTCAGCTTCCTCCTCTTCCTCCTCATCCTGCGAAAAGCAGACAGGGAGAGGACAACCCAGCCAGGAGAGGACAATCCACCATCCAGAAAAGGCCGGTGCTTTTCAGAACCAACCATTCACAGCAAACATCTGACTGAAGATGGGGTTATACAGCCGTCTTTAGCTTGGCTGTTGAACAAACCCAGGCCCCGCTTGGAGGAGACAATCCACTCCGTATCTCAACCACACCTCCAAGAAGGTAAAAGCAGCAATATGCCCTCATCCCAGCCTCTTGCAAGAGGAGAGGAGGGCAATACCAGACCCATCATCCCCGACTCCATCAAGAATCATCAGATTACCACTATTTATTTATTATTTGCTTTCTTCCCTCTTCCCCCCACCTCCACCTCCAAGGATCTTAGTGTCAGGGTTCCAAGTAACACATTTAGATGGCTCCCCAAGACGTATTGCCTGAACCCCAAAACCTACAACTCTCAAAACTGCCGTTTTCCCCACACCCCAACTCCCCCAGGACTACTACTACCTCCCTCCTCCCTCTCCCCACTCCCCACCCCATCCCTTCCCCAACTGCCCCCCCCCCAGGCCTAGCCCGCGCTCCTACCTGAGGGTGGCGCTCTCTCCTTGCCTGACCGTCACGTTGTCCATGGCCTTGGGGAAGGTGGCATCTCCGCTGCGCACCGGCACTCCTGCGGGCACAAGGAAGAGCAGCCTGAGACACACGACCACCAGGCACCGCCAGGGCAGAACCAAGCCCCCACCGACCCCCATCCTGGGATGCAGAGACACGTCCCTCCACCAAGCTAAGGTAGACTACGCCAGTAGCGGGGGGGCGATGCTTGACGGAGAAGGGGCGAGCGCGGAGCAAGAGCAATCCCGAGGCGCTTTTACGCGGCGAAGCGCTGATGCTGCTCGACGGTTATCGGGACGCCCGGGAGAAATCCAGCTCCGGAGAGGCGGGGCGTCCAGGAAGAGGATGCCAGGGGTGGGGAGAGGCGGCTGCAGACGGGCCGGCCGTCCCGGGGCAAGCGGGGAGCTGTCCGACGTGTCCTTCTCGGTCCGGTTTCCAAAGAGAGAAAAAACCGGACTAAGTGGCTGCAAGGCTCCGGCGGCAAAACTTTCTGCGCCGCCACCGAGGAGGCGGGCGAGGCGGAGAAGCGGAGCCGAAGGAGACGGGAGGCTCCCCGGCTGGGGTTTTCTTCCCTCCGCCGCGCGCTCGTTCCCTCTTTCTCCAGCCAAGCGGGCGATGGAGCTCCGGAGCCCCGATGCCGCCCTGCGTCTCGCTCTCCTCGGCCGTCCGGGCTCGTCCGGCTCCGCTGCTTGGGAAGGTTGCGGCCGCCCCCGCCAGCCGGCGGCTCAAGGCTCGAAGCGGGCAGGCGGGAGACGCGGACAGGAGCCTGCCGCCGCCGATGATGCCGCCGCCGCCGATGCCGCCACTTCTGGCATCCCCGCGCCTCTGGCCCCGCTCGCCGGGCGCCTCTGCTCCGCGGTCCCTCCCGCGCGCGCCCACCGACGGGTTGTCATGGCAGCGCCTCCATCGCTGGCCAGGACGCGGGCTCCCCGGTGCAGCCACAGCGACCGGGGAGGCTTCGCACACGCAGCGCCCGGCGCGAAGGACACGCCGGATCGGCGGTAGCGGCGGCGGCGGTAGCGCGCGCTCCCCTTCCCTCCCACGCGCGTTAACCCTGCCCGCGCCGCGGTCGGGGACTCAGGCGGGAGGCGG